CCTCCCTCCCTCCCTCCATTCCCCTGAGCAAACAGGACCAAGCCAGCAAAGGCCACAGTCCCCAGAGCCAGGGGAGAAAACGTGGCCACGCTCCGACCCTCGGTCCCCACCCGGCCTGTCCACAGGCCACGTGCCTTCCTGTTGGTTTATCCCGGAAGGCTTTCTAGAATAATCCAGCCACGGTCTCCAACCCGGCTGGGTGTTGCTTCCGGGTCGCCGGCGATGTCCCCAGCCCGCGCATGCCCGCCGCAGCCCCGCTTCCCCCACCCCCTTCCTCCCTCAGCGGGGCGGCCGAGCCCCATACGGGGCCTGTGTCCCCTCTGTCTGGCTGGAAGTTGGCGGAGATCAGAGAGGGGATACAAGTTCAGGCTAAGTGAGGGTCACGGACGGCCTGGCGCCCCTCGGCCCTCTTCCTCCCGGTGACCCGAAAGTGTTTCGATTTGTGCCAACATGCAACCGGCACTCTACCGTGTGACCCACGCCTCCAGTCCGCCATTTGGCTGGTTCCTTGGAGAGAAGAGTCTCTCAGACTTTGCTGCCCAGGCTGGCTTTGAACCGCCAGCCTCAGAGCTAGGCACCGGTGGCTCATACCTGTCACCCCAGCAACTCAGGAGGCTGAGACCTGAGGATCGCGGTTCAAAGCCAGCCCGGGCAGGAAAGTCCGTGAGACTCTGATCTCCAAGGAACCATCAGAAAACCAGAAGTGGTGCTGTGGCTCAAGTGGCAGAGCGCCAGCCTTGAGCTGAAGAGCTGAGGGACAGCGCCCAGGCCCTGAGTTCAAACCCCATGACTGACCACAAGGAGGCGGTGAGCACAGACGTGCTAGATCACAAGTCTGCGCACCTGCGTGACGCCTTTAATCCCAGATCTTTAGTCTTCTTCCTGGCTTTTGTAGGACAGGGAGAGGTTCGAGGCTCAGAGTCGGGAGCTGGAAAGGCAGCTGCAGATCAAGGAGCAGGAGCTGGAGAGACTCCACCAGAAGCAGAGCCAGGTAGGCGCCGCTGCGTCCTCCCTCCGTCCCCGCCGCTGCCTGGAGATCGGGGAGGAGGAAGCGTGTGAAAGTCCTCGGTGAGCTGGGTGCTGTGCATGCCCGCCCAGCATCCCAGCGACTCAGGAGGCCGAGATCCGAGGACCGAGGTTCAAAGCCAGCCCGGGCGGGAACGTCCGTGAGACTCTGATCTCCAAGAACTGGCAAAAAGCCGGAAGTGAGACTGTGGTTCAAACGGGAGAGAGCCAGCCTCGAGCAAAATAAAAGATAGAAAAAAGCGAAAATGCAGCGTCCAGGACCCCGGAGTCAAAGCCTCGGGCGGTTCCAGACCAAGAAAACATTACAAACAAGGATAAAGAGGAGCCAAGCATACACAGAATTAAAACACAAACCAGAGGCCGGGTTGCTCTTCTAATGTCCCCTGCGGTCTGTCCACATGGCTGTACGAGGATTCCCAGATTCCTTCTGGAAGGTTCCAGGGAGCCCATGACGCAGGCCTGGAGTGGGCGGGCCTCGTGGCCCTGTGTCTGGATCTTACTGAATAGATTTTTGTTTTAGTCAGTCCTGAGGCTTGAACTCGGGGCTTGGGCGCTGCCCCTCAGCTCTTCAGCTTGAGGCTGGCGCTCTACCACTTGAGCCACAGCGCCACTTCCAGTTTTCTGGTGGTTCATGGGAGATCAGAGTCTCAGAGACTTTCCTGCCTGGGCTGGCTTTGAACCGTGATCCTCCAGATCTCAGTCTCCTGAGTCACTGGGATGACAGGTGTGAGCCGCCAGTGCCCGGGCATTTAGACTTGGAGGATGGTGCTCAGCCTCTCTCTCTCTCTCTCTTTCTCTCTCTCTCCCTCTCCTTCCCCCTTTGGTGGTACTTAAGTCCTCATGCTTGCCTGCCTGGTGTTCGACCACTTGAGTCACGCCTCCAGCCGGGCTTTTTGCTGACTGATCAGACATGTCTGCATCGGCTCATTTTTTTTTCTTTGAGCCCTTGGTGCTCTGGATCTTGAGCTCCTGGTTCGCTATGATGATAGGCGGGAGCCACCGGCACCCAGCGACAAAGCTGTTGGGATGACCGGATGTGGACATCCTTTAGCTCAGAGACACAGAGGAGCCATTCACTGTCCCCAGCTCCAACCCGCACAAGGAGGAGGGAGGGAGGGGGATGGAAATGGCAGAGGGCAGAGGGCAGAGGGCAGAGGGCAGAGGGCTGGCCTTCCACGTGAGACCTCTGTGCGTGTGCACGTGTGTGTGCGCGCCTGCGCGTGTGTGTGGGCAGAGAAGCCGGTGGAGGGCAGTTGGTGGGTGACCCCCTGCCAGCCCCCCCACTTCGGGGCAGGGCCCCCAGCCCGGTGGCGGTGACTCCCTCCCTCCCTCCCTCGCCCTCCCTCCCGCCCCTCCTCTGTCCCCAGCTGAAAGGCCGGTGCGCGGCCCTGCAAAGCGACGGCCACCAACGCAGCTCTGAGAACGCCCGGCTGAAGCTGAGCAACCAGGAGCTGGCGGCCGAGCTGGACAGGACCAGCCATGAGCTGCGAGAGGCCCAAGCGCAGCTGGAGAGCCTGCAGCACGAGGCCCGCCGGCTGCACCGGGAGAAGGAGATGTACGGCCTCCACTGTCTGTCCTCCGCCCTCCGGCCTCCACCGTTGCTAAGGGCCCGGGCCCGGGGCCGGGCAGGGGGCACTGTGGGGGCTGCCTGGGGGTGGGGACAGTGGGCACAGTGTTCAGATCAGGACAGATGTGTTCATCAGCAAGAATCCTCAGTGAGCAGGATTGATTTTCTTGTTCTCCGCTTGAAGCAGGAGCACTGAATCCGAAAACGAGATTCATCTAGCCATTGGTGCTCCCGCCTGTCATCCCAACTACTCAGGAGGCTGAGATCTGAGGATCCCCGTCCAAAGCCAACCCGGGCAGGAAAGTCTGGGAGACTCTTATCTCCAACTAACCAAAAAGAAACTGGATGTGGAGTGGTGGCTCAAGTGGTAGAGCACCAGCCTTGAGCCAAAAAGCTTAGGGACAGCGCCCAGGCCCTGAGTTCAAGCCCCAGGACTGGTACACACACACAGGGAAAAAAGGAAGTGCTTTTCTACTTGTTAAAGCAGCCCACAGCTTAATATACCTAACACCAATGAATATATAGAGATAGGTATAGATACGCTTATATATATATATTTTTTTCCTGCACAGAGGTGTGCTGAAGATGGTCACATTTGCATATATTTACATATGCACACATGTATTTGCATACACACATGCACACTTGTATGCACACCCACATGCACGTCCACATATGCAAGTGTTTCTTCGTGTATTTGTATATGCACAAGTATATTCACCTGTGGGTATTTGCCTGCATTTGCATGTGCACCTGTGTTGCCTATGTGAAGATGTGTGCATTTGCATATGCATACATCTGATTTGTGTCTGCATATGCTTAGACTGGGCTTGGGGCTTTCATGGAACCCAGGTGGTGGCTCAGCACCAGGGCTGAGCTTGCCGGCCGGGCCCCCGGGGATGGGGATGGATGCAGGGCTGGGCAGCAGGAAGGATGAAGGGGAGCAGAGGCCCGGGCAGGAGGGCGGGGCTTGGGCTCCGCTCTGTTTGGGGGGGCCTGGGGCACTGTCCACTTGTGGGGGGGGCAGGGATGGGAATCTGCTTTGTTCACATCGTAACACAGTGCCGTTTTGGGGGCCCTTCCCGAAAACCCCAAACTCTACCCGGGAGCCCCTTGCCCCTCCAGCTCTGTCCAGGGCCACGTGGCACCCCTCTGCAGCCATAATGACACCCTGACACCCAGCTGGAATCCGCAGGGGCCTCTTCTGTCCTTCTGTCCCTCGGAACTTCCCTCCTGGCCCGGATGGCACCAGTGGTGGTGATGCTGGATTCTGCTGGATTTTCATTTTTCCTTGTTCCTGTCTTTTCTTTCTCCTCACCCCAAGATGCAGTAGACACCCAGCTCCTTTCTGTCCCCTCCCTCCCTCTCTGTTCCTTCTTTTATATCTTTTCTTTCTTTTCTTTTTTCCTTCCTTCCTTGCTTCCCTCCCCCTCTCCCTCCCTCCCTCTTTCTTTCTTTCTCTCTTTCTTTCTTTCTTCTTGTCAGTCGTGGGGTTTGAATTCAGGGCCTGGGCGCTGTCCCTCAGCTCTTCAGCTCAAGGCTGGCGCTCTACCACTTAAACCACTGCACCACTTCCGGTGTTCTGGTGGTTCATTGGAGATAAGAGTCTCATGGACTTTCCTGCCCAGGCTGGCTTTGAACCCGGATCCTCAGATCTCAGCCTCCTGAGTAGCTGGGATTACAGGCGTGAGCCACCAATGCCTGGCTCTGTCTTCCTTCCTTCCTTCCTTCCTTCCTTCCTTCCTTCCTTCCTTCCTCTCTCTTTCTCTTCCTTTCTTTCCTTCTCTTCTTCCTCCTCCTTTTCTTCCTTCCAAATAGAGCGGTGACCAGTGGCCCCAAGCCCTGCCCACTAGGAGCTGTCCACAGAGTCCTCCCTCCTGTCCTCCTCAGTCCCCGGGCCCAGGTGGCTTCTCTTCTGCCCTCACGGTGTGTCCACTCTCCGCAGGGAAGTGTATCGCGTGTCAGAGAGCCTGCAGCGCGAGAAGTTGGGGCTCCTGAAGCAGCTGGATTTCCTGAGGTGAGTGGCACGTGGGGTGAGCTGCCCTGCCCTTGCCTCTGCCCTCTGCCCTCTGCCCTCTGCCCTCCGCCCTGCCCCACCCCTGTCTGTCCCATGGTCTGATGGCCCCCGGGGTCTCCACCTGCAGACCCTGCCTGACCAACCTCCCTCTTCTATGCGTAGGGAAAGGAACAAACACCTGCGGGATGAGCGTGACGAGCGTGACGCGCGTGTGCAGGTAACACGCGTGTGCAGGTAACACGCGTGTGGGGAGGGACGGCACCGCCCCGGGTGGGCAGGGCAGGGCCCAGCATTGCACCAGGGCACAAGACAAGAACGCCGGAGCCTTCCGGACGGCTGTGGAAGAAACGGCCACACCACCCACCAGGGGGCGCCCAAGACACGAGTTTGTGCCCTGCGAACCAGCACTGGAGTGTGTGTGTGTGTGTGTGTGTGTGTGTGTGTGTGTGTGTGAACTGAAGCTTCAACTCTCAACTCAGGGCCTGGGCACGGTCCTTTAGCTTCCTGGCGCTCTACCACAGCTCCACTTCCAGCTTCTGGGTGGTTCCTTGGAAAGCGAGACTCTCACGGAGTTTCCCTACCCAGGCTGGCCTTGAACCACGATCCTCAGGTCTCAGCCTCCTGGTGAGCCTCCCGCGGCCCGGCTCACCAAGGTTTTCTAGGTTCTTTCAAGGTTCATTTCCACAGAAGGGCTGAGAGGTCTCGCCCGACGGGGGGTCGGGGTGGTGGGGACGGTGGACAGACACTGGATTCATAAGTCCAGGTTCCCTCGGGTCACCCCTGGCACCCTGTGCCAATAAGGAGGGATTAGAACCATCCAGAAGCGTGTGATTTAAATGCAAGCTTCTGTAGCTCCTCAGGAGGCTGAGATCTGAGGATCGTGGTTCAAAGCCAGCCCGGTCAGGACAATCCCTGAGACTTATCTCCAGTGCACCACCAGAAAACCGGAAGTGGTGCTGTGGCTCAAGGGGTGGAGCACCAGCCCTGTGTTCAAGCCCCACGACCAATCAACCAAAAAAAAAAGATGGAGGATGCAGCCTTTTTGGCCCAGTGGTCCGGCGCCCACCTCGGACACTCTTGTTTCTGCAGGGGGACAAGGCGTCCAGGGCAAAGGCGGCGGCCTCTAAGGCCAGCTGGAAGCAGAGGTCCGGCTCGGTGATCGGCAAATACCTGGACGGCCGAGGGCTGCTCCGGAGGTAGGCCGACACCCTGCCTTCTTGGCTGGTTCTTCTCCGCACAGGTGGGGAGTCGGCTGGGGGCTGAGTGCAGACTTAGGGTGGGGGGTTGGGGGGTTACCAGGGAGATCCAAGGTCAGCTGTAACCTCTGACCTTCAATCTTGGGGGACATGACCTTGGGGGGGATAGATAAGTCACCTCTATGGTGTGTGTGTGTGTGTGTGTAGTAGGAGAAAGGAGACCAGAGGAAAGGATGGGGAGGGGAGCTAGGGAGGGAGAGGGGGAGGGGGAGGAGGAAGGGGTGGGGGAGGGGTGCAGTTGGACCATGTTTTGTTTTGTGCCAGGCCCAGGGCTTGAACTCGGGGCCTGGGCACTGTCCCTCAGCTCTTCAGCTCAAGGCTGGGGCTCTACCACTTGAGTCACAGTGCCACTTCCAGCTTTTGACAGGTTCATTGGAGATCTTGTGGCCTTTTCTGCCCAGGCTGGCTTTGAACCTCCATCCTCAGATCTCAGCCTCCTGAGTAGCTGGGATGACAGGCGTGAGCCACCAGTGTCTGGCTAGCTCTTTGATTATATTATTATTATTATTATTGCCAGTCCTGGGCTTGAACTCAGGGCCTGGGCGCTGTCCCTGAGCTTCTTTTGCTCCAGGATGGTGCTCTACCACTTGAGCCACAGCTCCATGTCTGGCTCTTTGTGTGTGTGTGTGTGGTGGGGAGTGGTTCATTGGAGATCAGAGCCTCACAGACTTTCCTGCCCAGGCTGGCCTCGAACCGCAATCCTCCAATCTCAGCCTCCTGAGTAGCTGGGAGCAGCCCTCACTCAACTCCTTGGGGACAGGAAGGGGTGGGACCCATTGCTGCCTGGCTTCCTGTGGCGTCCACCCATCGAGGGCGTGATTGGCTTCTGCAGGAAGGACTTGGCTTACTGCTCACGCAGAGACAAGCCTGCTCCCCTGGGCCCCCCTCTCTTTCTGTGGGGGACGGAGACACTGGCCCGACCGACATGGGGAGGTGGGGCAGCAGAGCCCCAAGCTTGGGGACTTGGGGTGGGGGAGTCCGAAGTCCTGAGACAGGCCGAGAATGAGCCACAAGGGAGGGAAACCAGCTCTCCAGCTCTGTCTGTCTGTTGGTCTGTCTCCCTGTCTGTCTCTGTCTCTCAGCAGAGATCAGGGATCACGGGCATGAATACTGGGTAGACCCCATCTCAATGGATGTCTTGGCCTGGTAGTGTACACCTGCCACCCTGGCTACAGGGGAAGCGCACTGGCTGAGAGCGACAGCAGGGAATCACAAAATAGGAGGATCACAGTCCGGGCTAACCCCCCCCCCACACCTCCCAAAAACAGGCAGACCCTCTGCGAAGACAGGCCACACCCAGAGCAGCCAGAGGGTCCACTGGGCAAGCCCCGGCCCTGGGTGCAAATCCTGTTCCCCAACACAGGTGTCAAATCCAGCCTCCAACTTAGCTCTTCATTCCAGTTTCCCAGTTCTTCTGCAGACACTGCTTCCTCCTGCTCCTGCTCCTTCCTCCTCCTCTTCCTCCTTCTCCTCCTCCTTTTCCTCGCCCTCCTCCTCCTCCTCCTCCTCCTCTCCCTCCTCTCCTTGTCCCTCCCATCCCTCCACCAGGCCCGGCCGGGGGCTGGGGTGGGTGCCCCCATCCTCTGTCCAGCACCAGTGCCGTTGGGCAGGCCTTCCACCCCGGCACTGAGCTCCGTTCTTGTTTTGTCCTCATCACCCTCAGCCGGTCGGAGGAGGAGGAGGAGGAGGAGGAGGAGGAAAAGGAGGAGGAGGAGGAGGTGTTCGGCCTGCCCCCCGGGAGGCAAAGCTCTCCAGGCCCGTGTGGGGGCCCAGCTGTGGAAGAGGAGCCGGGGCTGGGGGAGCGGGGGCCCGGGGGGCCCCGCAGGCCCCTGGGCAGGATCATCTCCATTGAGGAGGACCCCCTGCCCCAGCTCCTGGGAGGCGGCTGTGCGCGGCCGCTGAGCGAATGTGCCGAGGCGGAGGAGGAGGAGGCCGAGGCTCCGGGCCTCCGGGAGGCTCCCTGTGTGGGCCAGGGACCCGTGGCCGCACCCAGGGCCCAGCCCGTGGGGAAAGAAGCCCTCAGCAAGGTGAGCACCAGGCCGGGGCCTCCCTGCCTCCCAGCGTCCCCCCCCCCAGCCTCAGGAGGCCGGCCTCCACCATCAAGGCCTCCCCAGGGCCTGCCAAGCATCGCCTGATTCCAAAGCCCCCGGGTGGAAATCAACGGCACAGGGACGCAGCTTCTACCAGAGGGTTTCCTGAGACAGTACTCAGCCTGTTCTCCGACAGCACGCCTTTGCTTCTTGGTTTGATGATGCTGGGCTTGAACCTGTGGCTCGGGGCTTGCCAGGCAAGCCTAGATCACATCTTTGGTTCTTGGTTTGGACCTGCGGCTCGGGGCTGGCCCGCAGGCCTCCGTCAGGCCTTGGCTCTTGGTTTGATGATGGTGGGTTTGAACCCGCGGCTCGGGGCTTTGGTTTGATGATGATGCTGGGTTTGAACCCGCGGCTCGGGGCTGGCCCGCAGGCCTCCGTCAGGCCTTGGCTCTTGGTTTGATGATGCCGGGTTTGAACCCGCGGCTCGGGGC